AACCTCAGGTGGTATGTGACCTCACTTGGGAACAGGATCCTCGCAGTTACGATTAGATGAGGTCATAGTGGATTAGAGCGGGCCCTAAATCCGAAGAACGGCAAGCTTGCAAAGAAAGGAGAGGGCACGCACAGGGACACAGAAGGGTGATGGCCATGTGACGGTGGAGGTGGACGTCAGAGGGACCGGTTCATCTACAAGCTAGGGAACCCCAAGGATTGCCCCGAAACACCAGACACCGGAAGAGGCAAGGAAGGATTCTTTCCTGAAGCCTTCAGAGGGAGTGAGGTCTGCGGACGCCTTCATTTCAGACATCTGGCCTCTCAAACTGTGACAGGATAAATACCTTTCGTTTTAAGCTGCCCCGTTTGTGGCACTTTGTTGTGGCAGCCACAAGAATCCAGTAACCTTGGGGGCCCCTGGGTGGCTCAGTCGGTTGAGCATCCGACTTCAGCTCAGGTGGTGAGCTCACGGTTGGGGAGTGGGAGCTCCGCATGGGGCTCGCTGCTGTCAGCGCTGAGCCCGCTTCGAATCCTCTGCTCCTCCCCTGCTTGCGCGCTCTCTCTCAAAAACAAACAACAACAACAACAACAACAAAATAAAAGCATTAAAAAGAAAGAATCCAATGATAATGGCACCGCTGCAAGATGTTGAGAGATCACCTGGGCTCATAGGATTGTGCCAATAGCAGTCAGTATCAGTGAGTCTAACCCCTCGCCGGCCCCCGGGGCACGAAAGCTGCTTCAGCGGCAGTTGACAAGCGCCTGGGGCTGTGTTCTCAGAAGCTTTACCTGTAGACCCCAGAATTGGAAAATTTCATCCCAAAGTGAGGAGTCATGGAGGCCTGGTCTGGAGGATGGATACAGGGCAGAAGTCAGAGCTTGAGGCAACCACATCGGCTGATGGGGGCAGGGGGTGCGGGGAGGCAGGTGAGAGAGAGAGAGAAAGGAGTCAAACATGTCCAGAATCCCCGGGATGCAGGTGACTGGGGACCCCAACTACTAAAACAATGTCCTTCTCTAGGATTATGTCTGGGTATTCAGCGGGCAGCCTCCCCATGGGGGCCCCCAACTCAAGCTTTCCTGAATATAGGGGCATGATCCTAAGAATTTTTTCCAACCTTCTTTCTTACTCTGTGACACCCCTGCTGGGTTCTAAAGTCTAGCTTTACCCACTAACCCCATCTCCAGAACCTTCCAGTTCCCATTACATCATGTTCCCCACAACGGACTTTTGATGGTTTCCTGCGGTCCCACTAGTGTCCCTTCCCCGCCTCCATCTAGCCACGGCAAAAATAATGCCGCGGAGGGTGTAGTCAAGTACGAGGCGTCTGCAGTCCTCCAGCACACCTGGATTCCAGTCTTCAGAATGTCACATTTTAGCTTTGAAGTTTGGGAAACTCGTGCCCTCATCGTCTTTTAAGGGCCAACGTCCCCAACCATAAGTGGACCATGATGCGGTTCAGAAGAAAGATGTGTGCAAGGCCGTAGCGTCGTATAAGCACATGGCAAGCGCTCAGTAAAGGCCCGCTCCGACTCGGTTATTTTCTCCCTCGAAACACGCCTCAGAAGAACGGTTGAGGACGCAAACGGATGATTCGCAAAGAAAGGAATTCAAGTGACGCATAAACCCAGAGAAAGGGCGTCAACTTCTCTCAACAATGAAGTGCAAATTACAGCCATCGCTGATTGACAGAAACGCTTAAAAGATGGGTAACCTGAAGTAAGTTCCAGCTGGATCAAAGATTTAAGCGTAAAAAGGCAAAAAAGAAACATGAAAATGCCGAATGTGGTAAATTCATAAAAATTCATCCCGGGGCAGTGATTTGTTAAGCATGTTAAAAAAGCAACTAAGAAGGCATAAAAGAGAATGATGCTCTGTTTCACGTATAAGTGAATAAATTCCTCCATTAAAAATACCAAGTTGAAAGGCATACACACACGTAAATTAAGGAGCAAGAGAAAAAACAAGGAAAGGTTGGTAAGGCATTGGTGGCGATTGATTTCCTTTAAGGTATAAATATCTTACAAGCGATGTCTTCAAGAAATGACTAATATTCTCTAGAAACATGAAACAGAAGAAGCAGCCAGCTCGTAAAAGAAATGCCTGTACACATGAAACAACATCGAATGATACGCTCGCTTTTCATAACAAAAGAATTTGGAAGTTAAAAGCCCGTGGGGTACACTTTTTCGTTTTCATCTGTGATTTGGTAAAAGATCAAAGCACTGGATGATTTGCCGCTTTGCCAGACTGTGTGGCTGGGAGGCATCCTCACACCTGGGATCTGAAATGGATCCAACCTTTTGCAAGGACGGGGTTTAGCAAAATCAGTCAAGATACCAGAATGCACCTTCCCTTTCTGCCATTGGTTTTACTTCAAGGATTTTCTTCCCTTAATATTATTATTATTATTTTAAT